AGAAGTCTTAGAGACAGTCCAGTACTTGTGGACAGGTGTAGAAGTCTCAGAGACAGTCCAGTACTTGTGGACAGGTGTAGAAGTCTCAGAGACTACTACCTGTGGACAGGTGGACCAGAACACCTGTGGATCTAAATTGCAGTGATATAATATTTTGTTCCACAGTGTTTTGAGTCAGATAAGGATTTCTTTCTTTAAGAAGGTCATTTTTAATGGAGTTGTTTGTAATAATTCTGCTTAGTAAAAAAATAACCGACATGTTTATTTGGTAGATTTTTAGTAGGACTAAATAAATGTTTTTTTTTTCAATTTTTCTGATGGTTTTAACTTGTTTCCATGAACTATGTGGATTTTCTCTCTAATACAAGGCTACAAACCTCCTTGTCTGTATTTTCAACATCCTCCTCTTTTCATCTACCCTTTCTCCAACAGAACCTTTGTATCCAACAAAGCAAGGGCGTTTTCATGCAATAATAGCAGCTCAGCTAGACTGTGTACTTGAAGTGTGACAAACAGGAAATCATTGCTTGGCTGTAGAAAACCAAGCACTGCTGCCTTTTTAAATGGCACTTTCAAGAGATGCTCTAAATTCTTTCTGTGCCCATTTTTTAGGTCAACTGTAAGTCCATTATGTGATCCCCTTATCTCCCGGAGTGGGACTTGGGAAACTGTGGCGGAACTGAACAGGATGAGTGAAAAAGATGTGTGAAATAATATAGAAAGTGATGACAGCAGGTGAAAAAAAGAAGAGTAGAGGAAATAATAGCTCTCTTAACACCGTGTGATAGATCTTTTTATACCGCTTCTCTTTAATGACAGCTGTGTGTGAGATGTTACGGTGTGTACACACTCACTGCAGGTGAGCAACAGCTATTACAAAAAGCTATTTTAAATCAATAAAAGCTGTCAGATGTTATACATGTTATATTTCTATCAATTTAGTTGAGATGTGTTTAAATTGATCTGTCTTTCAGCCAAACTGTTTCCTTACACAGATCAAGTTAAATCAACAGCTTGGTCTAAAGGACAGTGATTGTCCTCCAGTAAATTATATAAACTGCAGAAACATCAATAACCTGGAGCTTTTAATTACTTAATTCTAAATTGAGTTATTATTTTAAGACAATGAGATGGAATAATAGAATGTCATCTTCATATTAGTTTAGAAAGTTCCATTCATGCCCAACCGTTTTTGTTTTGTCTGTCATCCATAAGTAGTAAGAGACCCGTTTATCAGAGGCTACGTTCACACTGCAGGCAAATCCGACCCAAATCCGATTTTTTTGACCCATCTGACTCACATCCGATTTTTTTATGACAGTCTGAACGCGACAATTCCGATTTTTTCAAATCCGACCCAGGCCGTTTCAGTATGTGGTTTTAAATCGGATACATATCTGATGTTTTCAAAGTGACTGCGGTCTGAACGCTCATGTCACATTCATCTGACTTTTGCGTCACCGGTGTGAGACCGACGTCACAGTTCTGCGCCGGACTGGGCGGGAAGCAGCAGTGGAAAAAGGAAACATGGCAGACAGCGTCGATGGAGCTTCTCAGTGGAAAGAAAGTGAGGTTTTAGACCTAATTAGTATCTAGGGAGACAGTTCTATTCAAGCTAAGCTTGAAGGGTCGTATCGTAACCGAGCTGTTTTTGAAAGTATCTCGAAAGATATGGCTGAGCGCGGGCACAAACGAACGTGGCTACAGTGCCAGAGGAAAGTGAAGAGCCTCAAAGCTAAATTTAAAGAAACAAAGGACCATAATAAACTAAGCGGTCGTGGTCGAATTACTTGTCCATTTTATGACGAGCTTGACCGTATTTTGGGAGACAAACCCAGTTGTCAGCCACTGGAACTGCTCGACAGCTCTGTTGATACGCCTGAAGAAGAGCAAGATAACGAGTTCACCGATGGAGCTAGTCCAGCTAGCAGCTTTATCGACAATGGTGAGTGAACTTTTGTCGTCTTGTTGTAGCTATGATTAATGAAAGTACATTTTCAAATGAAATATGTATTACATCAAATGCGAAGTTATAAATAATCATTGTGTAAACAATCACAACATACTTGACTTACCACCAGCAGTCTGAAAATGCTCACAAACCTAACATAAATTCTAGATTGGAGTCAATTATAGTAACTGTAAATAAAGAATAAACTATACTATATGTTACCATGTATAAGATACATTATAATGTAATATTTGACATTATATTTGATATGTTTATGTACATCAGCTGATAAGACTCCTGCCTCGCTCCCTTGTGAGTCTGACTCTGGGGGAAGCTCCTCATCTGGACTGAGTGGAGATAAATCTGTGAAGGACAATGCATCTGCCACATCCACTAGAGGTAAATAATCAGATGTTCATGTGTTGGTGGACGTTACTGTAAAATTATTACTGGTACATAATAGCATTTCCATACATTTTGTCTTTCTCTTTTAYACAGCTACATCTGGCAGGAGCAGGAAACGAAAATCAAAAATGGAGGCAACACTTGAAGTTTTTGCAGAGAAGATCACCTGTGCATTGAAGGCAGATGACTCTGACCTCCTTTTAAAGATGCAAGCAGCTCAGCATGAGCATGATCTTAAAATGCTCTCTGTGTTAACTCAGTACATGGAGAGATCACAACACAGTTCACAACCACCTTTCTACCAGCCAGCAGTGCATCCTTCACACCTTTACAACCCCAGACAACCACCTCCTCTCCGTACCTCTCCRTACCACATGGATTCATCTCAGTCCCAGCCATTTTACGAGACATCCAACCCGCCTCTGTCCTTCCTACAAGATTTAGCTCAACCACTACCTCTCAACATCAGTCCAGCACCTCCTTGCAATCCGAGTCAGCCCTTCAGACCAGCATCCACAAAGCCTCAAGATCTGGTTCAGCAGAAACATCCTCTGYCCTATCACTCATCAGAAGATGAAACAACCTAAATTAGTTTTGACAGCTGGGTCTTCAAAGTTTGAAGTATTTCTTAAAGCATCTAGTACTGCACAATGTTTAGTTAATGTTTTCGAGGTGCAACTACACTTTCGCTAAGGCGTTTGGATTTCTGTGGGATTGGTTTTGTTGCTTCAAAAATAACTTGTTTTAGGTGTTACAGTGTAACAGTTTTTGATATTTTGTGTTGCAGAATAACAGTCTTCTAAAGCTTTATTTTCAAACTCTAATCTGCATTGTTTTCAGTTTTTTCTTTAAATATGCAGTACTGCTCAGTATTTACCTGAAATTTGTTTGAGATGCGACCACACTTGCATTGGTGTTCTCATGTCTATACTTTTTTACAGTTGCTTGTTTTTTTAGATGCAACAATTTGACAAATATTTAAAATGTTGCAGAATGACAGCCTTTCTTCTGCTTCCACTTTTGATACAGATAAAAATCTGCATTGTTCATTTTCTTTTATTTAACATCCAGTACTGCACAATGTTAAGTTGTTTGAGGTRCAACTACAATTTTGCTGTGATGTTAAATTTTTTTTTGCTAGTGGTTTCATTTTTTTATTTATAGATTGTTGTCTTAAAATTTACTTTTCAGGTTTTGCAGGTGTTACAGGGTAACAGTTGGTAAAATATTTAGTGTTGTAGAAAGACAAAGTGTGTCTTCTATAACCTATTTGCTTTGCAATGTTTTGAAACCACATAATTGCAAAATTTGTGCARTAAGTTAATGTTTGYTTTTTCAGCAAATAAAACAGTTCACCGTCCCACTTGAAAAGTTTATTTCACACTTGATGCTCTAAATGCTACTGTAGTTATTTCAAAATAGAGATCAACAWACAAGATTTTGTACTGAAGAAAACTAACACTGTTTTATTGTTAAAACACGCAGTACAAACACTTCTCAAAAGTTTAATGCATAATCTGTCATACAAGAACAATTTCAGCATTTATATTTTTTAAGTTTTGCTTCGCAACATACAAAAAAACCTTTAAAACTGGTTTACATTAATCTAGATAGATTTAGTTTGATTTTAAAATTGTGCTAATCAGGAACAACTAAATCTAGTTTTTTCTGATTTGTTCTGTGCTGATAAACTCAACTGTACAGTAAATGTGTTCTCTCAAATGCTTCACAGTTTCAATATGATCAAATACATCTGATTTAATGTCACTCAATATTAAGGTATTTTGTTTGACATTACAAAGCAAAACTGTTGTCAAAAAACAGTTATTGATACTGCTCATGTATTACAAGTTATGAATTACATTTTTGAGTATATTATGGCTCAACGCTGGTTATAAAAATGTTGTGTCAGTGCCACTCTGACTCTGGCTGGCTGAGCATCTGGTAAGGCCCCTCCTCCTTCAGCCACTCTCTCATCATGGATAACAGCTCCACCAGTTTCCTCGTAGGCCTCACCGTGCTTTTCACAAATATTGTGAAGAGTGCAGCACGCACTTATGATGGTGGGGACAGATTGGATGCCCACATCCAGACGTTTCGCTAGGCACCTCCACCGTCCCTTAAGTCGTCCAAATGCACATTCCACTGTCATTCGGGCCCTGCTGTGTCGTACGTTGAAGTACCGTTGTTAGGCTGTCAGGTTGCCCGTGTCGGTGTAGCCTTTTAACAGCCAGCTTCGCAGAGGATATGCAGGGTCACCGAGCAGCACGACTGGCACCTGAACACCCATGATCTCTTCAGTATCCTGTCATGAAAGCATTACAAGGCATTAAAAAAAGCAGAATCTGTGTATGCACTGTTTACAGGTGAATATTTGCTTTAGTGCAGGGAATGTATGACAAAAAAAACTTACTGGTGGGAAAAGATCCCCTCTCTCAGCCATTGCGTAGATGTGGGAGTGCTTGAGAACCCTGGCATCGTGGACACGGCCAGGCCATCCAATGTAGATGTTGGTGAAACTATTGAACACACACAGAATCAGTTAAGCATATATAAACATTTTTCACATAAAAAGTTCAGCTATTTACAATTTTATTGTTTTACACTGGAATATAATAAAGTTGTTAGTTAGGTCACATTGTTATTAATAAGCTTCAATAAAGATCAATAAAGTATATACTTTATTGATACCGGGGGAAGGGGGGATTGCACATTGACCATCAGCAAGGAATATGTAAATGAGCTGATACTGATCTATATACGTCAGTCCTAACAGTGGCCAATTCTGTGTAAACTGAAAGGACACCAGCAGCCAGAAGAAGTAAAAAATCTGAAAAAAGATTATAATATAAACGACAATATAAAAAAGTCCATAGTTAGGAATGACGTATCAGTGTCAGCTCATGTTCCCTGCTAATGGTCACTGTGCAGAATAAATACAAAGAAAAAAAAACACAGGTAAATGTAATTATTTTAAATTGATGAGAAGTATAAATACGTTATTTCTAGGTGATGGGCATATAGGGATGTGACAAAAAAGTAATATCTACATGAAAATATTTTATTAGTGTGGTAAGACACATTTCAGTCATTGGAATTGTGATTTCTTATATAATTTGAAAGCCTCAACTAAGTATTATTTAAAACATTACTCTTACCAGAACTGATGGTCGACAACACYCTGCAGAATAACAGAGTGCCACCCTTTGCGATTGAAGTATTCACCAGGGTTGTCTTCGGGAGMAATGATGGGAATATGACTCCCATCTATTGCCCCAGCACACTGTGGGAAACCCCACCTCTCCCRAAAGCCTTCGATGACTCTTTGCAGATCATCTCCTCGAGGCAGTTTAATGTACTCRGACATGAGGACATAGCGTACAGCTTTGCAGAATTCATGGATTATCAAGCAAACCGTGGGCTTTGCAATTCCAAACAAGTTTGATATTGTCCGGAAACATGCCCCTGTAGCCAGCCAGTACAATCCAATTCCAACACGCTTCTTCACAGAAATGGGCCAGCGGAGATTAGTGTCTTGTCGGGAAAGGCGATCAGACAGGCGCTGACAGATGTATTCAAATGTCTGTCTTGACATCCTGAAATTTTGAAGAAATTGTGTGTCACTTACTGTAAGTCTCTCACGTCGAAGTCCCACCACTCTTGGCTTCTACTCCGCATCCACACACCCCTCTGAACAGAGGTAGCAGCCACAGCTCCAAATATCGCCATGACCAAAATTTTAGCTCTCTTTCTTCTCAGTTTTCTTTTGCCTTAAATCATTTGGATGTTTAGTTTTCCCCGATTGCACAACAACTTCAAAATTACCGAACACAAAACTGTCCGTTTACTTCCGCAAACACAGGGTGCTGCGTGTCACGTCACGTTCTGAGACACGTTTACTTCTGCACATGCGCGTCACATCAGTGCTGTGTAACGTTCACACAGGAGTCTGATACAGGTCGCATTTAAAATGTAATGTGAACGTTCACACAAAAAGATCGGATTTTTTCAAAAAATCGGAACTGAGCATTAAGACCTGCAGTGTGAACGTAGCCAGAGACATTTACACACTCTTGGTTATTCTGTTGATCAAAGATTTACTAACAAGGACCACACCACTAAGATGTGAGATTAAAGGTTAAATTGCAGGAAGGAAGGGAAGCACTGTGATTAGTATGGATGTACTGTAGATATGGTATGCCTGGTAAGACCAGAGATCGTGTGCTTGAATTGTCTCATCTGAGATGCACTGAATGGCTGCTGTAGAAACAGGTTTGATATTTAAGGAAGGGGGAGAATAATACTCAGGTGAGTGATGGAAAGTGGATCAAGAGGTGAAGCATTTTCTGCTAGTCTGGACTGAAAATAGTTAGAGACTGGTTCGAATGAGCTGAGAAAGGAGTTAAGACAGAAGAGATGGATTAGAAAAGAAACAGCTAGTTTGTCAGTTTGAGTTCTCTGGAGAGTGAAAATCAAAGTGTCATGACTATGAATGGAGACACCTGAAAGGCATTGATGAACAGAAGGAATATGCCTGGGTGAGAATGAGGTGAACTTTGAGCATGATAGGAAGCCAAAAAATGGCAGCAGAAACATAAAGTCCAGAGTTCGGTCAATGGAGKGAGATAGATCTTCAAAGTGTAGAGTGAGGACACAATGGCTGAGGAGATCTGCTAGGAGTGGTAGCCATTGAGTGATGGCTAAACGTTCTTTCTTTTTACATCTTTTATGAAGCATGGTTATGTGTAAATGAGAAATAGATGGACAGCCATTACCTGTTTTTTTAATTGCTCTATAGAACAACGCATACCAACAGTACATCTGAGGGTGGGGGTGTGGGTGTCAGGGTCTTTATTCCCATCCCGTTCCC